TCAGCCCTCCCTCCTGCCCGGGAGCACCGTGACGTACTCCCATGCCCTCGCTGTAAGCACCGGGGCCAGGCTCGGCCTGCACCTGTTGCCGGGACCTGTCTCAGCAACCCCGACACACGTCCTTCCCTCCTTGCCAGGCGTGACTTTCTGAGGGCTGCTCCAGCCAAACACACAGTCTCACGTGCCTTAAAACAACAGGAACGGATTCTGTCCGAGTTCTGAAGGCTCTGCAATCCGGCCACGCCACACTCTGTCTGGAGCCTTCAGGGGATGGTCCCCTCCTCCTCACCCAGGCAGTCCCTCTTCACAATACCCCCCACCCCCACCCCGCGTCTGAGCGATCTCCCTCCTGTAAGGACACTAGTCATTGGGTTTAGGGCCATCCTGAAACCAGAATAAGCTCATCGTCTCAAGAGCCTTAGCTTGATTACATCTGCAGAAACCTGTTTCCAAACCAGGTCACATCTCCTTGGGGACCCACCACTAGCCCCTCACAGCAGGTGACTCCTACTGGCTCACCATCCTCCCCCCAAAGGCTACAGGACCTACATGCACTCTCAGATCCTTCTGGGCTCTCTTCACCTCTCCTCTGTCCTGGTGGTCTTTTGTGGGGGGCCGGCGGTGTTCTGGCCAGGCCGAGCTCTCGCCCCGGCCTTCCCTCTCCCTACTTCCGGCGTATTGCTCTCTGCCGCCAGGGGCTCCCGTCCCCGCCGTCCGAAAAGCGAGGCGAGGCCTCGTCTATCTTCCCCAAATGGCAGGTCGCCCTCTGTGAGGTTCTGGTTCTTCCCGGGGGCGTCCGTTCCCTGCAAGTTCCCTCCCTGCCCTTATGCGCCAGGGAGCGCTTCCTGTGGGCTTTCCCGGCTGCAAGGCAGGCAGAACAGCATCTCTCCCTGCCCTTCCCGGGCCCGGGGGGAGAGTGAGAGCTGGGGAAGACTGTGCTGTCGGCTGAGTGCTCTGGTGGGTGTGCGGGCAGAGGGTCTGCGCGATGGGCTCACAGAAACCTCCCCGATCCTTCCGCGGGTGGCCTTTCCGACTGTAAGCCTACTTCTCTGTCTGTTCACTCGTACGTCCACGTCTGCTGCGGGGACATCTGCGCGAGCCTCGGGTGGTTCAGGGACCCACCATCCTGCTGCTCTTGCCGGTGTGGAGGGCGTCTACCAGTCCGCACCTCCGACAGGTGCCTGCTCCCGTGGGAGCGGCTCGTCTTTCCAGCCAGACCCCAGGCTGGACTCTCTTATGCTTTTCTTTCATCCCCAACAAGGGTGAATAAACCTTTTAATCGTTCATTCAGGTCTGTCCTGAGCTCCTGCTCCCTGCCAACAGCTGCGCGGCCTCCTGTGGCCTCCACCTTCGCGGGGAGACATGTTTGCCTGTGAGCATCTCCAGATTTCATCCGCTCGAGCTCAGTGTTGCAAGAGCCTGACAGCTAAGAGCAGCCCGCCTGGCACAGGCTGGCACGGCGCTGGGCTCTGCTGGGCTCGCCGCCTTTCCTGGCGCTGTGGGCAGTCTCTTTCGGGTGTCCTGTGGCCACTGCTGCGTCTGAAAGTTAGGGTTCCTGCACTTTGCCACCTCTAGGCTCCACCGTCTCCCACTACACAAGAGTCCTATTGAGAGTCCCACAGGCACCCGCTGGGGAGCCTCCCTGACCGGGATGGGGGCCAGGCAGCTGGGGACCGGGGTTGTGGTCCTGGGGTCCTGCAGGCACCTGCTGGGGAGTCCCCCGGACCCAGACCCAGGCTGCAGGGCTGTCGGCCGGGGAAGCAGGCACCAACCACCTGTACCTCCACCTTGAGGTGCATCCAAGTGAGGGTTACCTGCTTCCAGACTTCCATCAGCATCTCAAATCCAATAAAGATCTTCTTTTCTATTATTAGGGAATTACAACAGGCTACCAACCCTGGCTCTGTCTGAGGTTGGACCAAGCATGAGTGGAGGCGGAGCAGCTGGCCGGCCGGTGGCTGGTGGCCACGGTGAGATTTGTCACCGCACGGCCGGGTCCTCTGCAGCCAGTGGTCCTGCAGGCAGGCTGTGTCCTGCTCATGGGGGCGGGAAGCGGAAGCACCAGCCTGTGGCCACAGTGGGGGTTGGTGGGGAGGGGATGAAACAAGGTCCCGGAGCTGCAGACCATTACTCCAGCTGGGAGGCGTAACCACGTCTTATGGGTCAGTTCGAATACAAAGTCCTGTAGATGTTAGAATGTGTACAAAATCTTGTGCTTGTGGTGCCTTGGGTTCCAGATTAGTTGACTGGGTCACTCCGTATGTCACAGTGTCCTTTCCTGGAGGTAGGAATGCCCAGCAGAGTAAATACTTTACTTCTCTCTGCTATTTATCTAGAACATTCCGAAGAGGCACTAGAAGTTGTTCCGAAGACAGTAAGCCTGGAGAGATGCGTTTTGTGTGAAGTATAGGGGGGCTTGGCTTTGTGTGCCCCGGGCAGCCCCCGACAGCGCCCACCGGCCGTGCGCTGGGCTGTGGCCCTCCTGGAGCTGCCCAGGGCCGGAGCGGGAGGGGGTCTGGCCCACGTCCTCCGGTTTGCGTGTTGGGCCTGCCAGGCAGGAGGGTCCTTTTTTCCTCCCAGATGCCTTCGTGCAGGTGCAGTCAGTACCCAGTCTTTGCTTTGAGTCAGAAAATAGCGTGTTTCTCGTGTCGGTCTTCAGAGGAAGGAGCGACGGGGAATGTGGGCGCTGGAAGCAGCTGCGTCTCTAGGGCATCAGATGTGGGGAAAGTCGCTTTCACTTTGGTGCTTAGGGATGACATCGAGTTTCTGGCCGTGGAAACCCATGGTCTCTGAGGATCTGAAATGTGGGCACACTTGCCGTCCAAACCTTCCTGATGAACAAGTGAATGTAGAAGAAGCGTGTTTGCATTCAGCTGGGTCATTTGCTGCGGGTCAGCACGGGAGCCTCCCCGCACGTCCCCTGAGCAAGCCGTTTGCCCACTTCTCACAGCTGCTGTCCTGTCGGGTCCTCTTCTCCCCCACCTGTCTTGCCCTTCAGTCCACAGTCACAGCCGAGTAAGTGCGAGCTGCCCACCGGCACCCATTCCTGGACACGTGCTTGCCACGGATAAGATCGCAACAAATCATTCTTTCCCGATGATGTAATGCATGAAGAAATATTTCTTTAATGATGAGTTAATGAAGGGCGGAAGGTAACCGAAGACCAAGTCAGTGATCTAGGAAAGAAACCCAGAAATACTTTGTAAAGTAGAGTAGGAGTAAAGAGTTGGAAAAATTAGGGAAGGCTCACATCATGGGACTGGCGTGGACGTGACCTCAAGGGCTGTAAGCACCATGAAGGAGAAATGAAGAAAACAAAACCCTGCAACCAGAAAGAAATATTCTGGTAAAATGCTAGAAGCGAACTTCTTCCCAAGAGGGACACAAGATCGCTTGGCTTATGAAGGAGTGCGGAGCCCAGTTGTTTCCTGACTTCCTGGTGCCCAGGAGAAGCTGGAACGCTCAGCTCTGCGAGGGAAAGTGACCGTACGTCCATGAAGCCAAACGGACATTCCTCTTTGGGAGGACAACTGTCCTGCCGCGATGCAGTCCTGGGACCCGGACCCCCTCTCCCGCACAGACAGCTAAGGAGCCGGATGCCGGGCGAGAGGGACAGTTTGGAGTTGGGCAAACAGCATTTTCGCTTTGTGACCCCAAGTAAGGGAAGCAGACCCGGGAGCCGCAGTGGTCCTGATTTTGTCCTGCAGGTGTGTGGGTGGCAAGGGGCAGGAGGGCTCCCAAGTGGGGCCTGGAGGTGGGAGGGGAGACAGAGATTGCTGTTGGGAGTCTGAGGCCGCTGCTGGTGGGTTCTGGAGAGGAAGGGACTTGCCAGCACTCCCGCAAGCCGTGCGAATAGAGTGGGTTCAGGCGGAGGTGAAGGGGCCCGTGTGGGGCTGGGAGGCATTTGAACCCCTGCCAACCCGGTGGAGATCCTTGTTCCCATTGGGGGTTCTGTGCGGACTCGGAGGGCCGCACCTATGTGGTGGGACAAACAGTCCCTGGACAGAGGCGGCCGGCGCCTCCCCTGACAGAGCTTCAGACAAGAATTTCCGTGATCAGTCTGCACCCAGAGACCCTCAGCCTCCAGTCAGCTCTGTCCTTTGGACAGCAACGGCATCTGGACACCAGCAGCCTGAAATTCCTAACGTCCAGCCGGTGCTCCCGGTCGGCGTGCCAGGAACAGGATGATGGGACCCACAGCCTGGAGAAGGGACAGTCGGGAGAAGCACAGCCGGATGGCAGGGGTGACAGGATGAGGGGAAATGGTGGTCCTGGAGCTTGTGTGACCAGCTGGGCTCCAGAAGTTGAAGCGAACCAGGGAGCAGGACAGTTGTGCCGGGACCTCTGGGAGGGATCAGGGAGTCTTCTGCTGAGCGGCATGCGTGGTACGGAGCCCATGGTGTCTGCTGTGAGCGGAGTGCGTGGTACGGAGCTCATGGTTTCTGCTGAGCGGTGTACGTGGCACGGAACTCATGGTGTCTGCTGAGTGGCATACGTGACACAGAGTTCACTGTGTCTCCTGTGAGCAATGTGCATGGCACAGAGCCCATGGTGTCTGCTGGGTGGCGTGCGTGGCACGGAGCTCATGCACAGGCTGGGTCTGCAGCCCCTCCGTTGTTGGGGCCCCCGTTTTCCCACCTGTAACATGGCCTCGTCGCAGCGCCTGGTCCATCAGCTCACAGGGGAGCTGAACTCTCAGGACGTGAAGGCAGCGGCCTCGCCCCCAGGAGGCCCCAGCAACCTGTGCCCCTCGGATAAGACAGCCGTGTCCTGAGGGCAGTGCTTACACTCTCCTGCCCCCACATGTCTTCCGGTTGCAAATCGGTGCACCCGTCCGTGTTTATTAGGAGCGTCTGGGCCACGGGTGACCGAAGCCACCCTGGGCTCATGGCCCTTGGCCCCGGCTGTGGACAGCCACCTGCCACGGCCTCACAGCCACCTGGGGAAGCTGCCTGTGGGCCCCTCCCACCCCACTCCTGACGCCCCGTCTCTGTCCTCAGCATCCTCGAGTGCCAAGGCCTCCCCATCGTGAACGGGCAGTGTGATCCGTACGCGACTGTGACACTGGCCGGACCCTGCAGGCAAGTACTCTGCACATGGGGCGGGTGGGTAAGTCGCCCGCTGCGACGATGCCGGGGCTTCCACAGAAATGCAGGAGAGGCTGTGCGCTGGGATGTGGCGTTCTGACTTACTCTGGTCTCCTCTGTGGCCCTGAGATTGCTTTCTGGAAACAGCCCCTCTCTTCTCCACACTGGGTGCCTTTGGCTCAGTAAAGCTTCCTGATTTGCATACTGTGTGGGTTGGAGACAAACTGAAATATGTATAAGTAGCAGGAGGAGGTTACTGGTGCATTTGATCACTCAGTCTGAAGGTGCAAAGACTCGGTGTCAACAGCGTTGCTTTTAACCTTAACCCTTCCTCCTTGGTTACAGATCAGAAGCAAAGAAGACAAAAGTGAAAAAGAAGACCAACAACCCCCAGTTTGATGAGGTGTTTTATTTTGAGGTTGGTATTTGAGCCCCGTGAATGTCACATGGAGACCCTTGGGGAAGGCGTGTCTCCGGCCCTGGGCCCCGGCTTCCTCCTGCAAGTTCTGGAATGACCCCGGCACGAGGCCTCCCTCCCAGCCTGCGGTGTCAGCTGGGCTCCCAGGAACTCCCCTCTGGCCCCTGGGGAGAAAGGTGATTTGTTGCTTCCTTGGTTTTGAGTTGAATCCTGACGAGTTGTACTCCCCAAGTTGTCCCGATCGGCGTGTTTTTCACTGTTTGCCTGTTTGGGGTGTTTTGGCTTTGGCTTGCTTCACCCGGTCTTTCCTGAGCAGTGGAGGGAGGCTTGTCTCCCCAGAAATAGTGAGGGGTTTTGAAGCAGAAGAGCAAATGCGTTTGAACACAGAGATCCCCTGGTGTCCTCTCAGGACTGGGAACCGCTGACGTTAGTGAGATGGGAGGCCTACGGGCCGAAGGCCATCGACAGGACAGTAGCAGACGTGGCTGCTTTAGTGTGACCCTGGCCCAGAGGCAGTGTATTCGGGGTGATGTTGTTTCCACCCACGAGGGTTTCTCGAGGGTCTCCTGTGGACCGGGTCCTGGGGGCTGAGGGTGAACGAGCCTCTACCCCTGCATTCCTGAGTTTGCCCCAAGCAGGGAAGCGTGCGCAGGGTGGGTCATGCACGTGGGGAAGTGACTGTTAAGTCAGTGGCCCTGGGGAGCCACAAGCAAACAGCCCCCAGTCCTGCCTGGAAGGAGTCTTCCCAGAACGGCGACCCGTGGGTGTAGTCTGGGAGGGGGCACTATGAGGCTGCAAGGAAGCACGTCTCTAAACGTTGGGTGAGGTTGGGGTGAGAAGGGGGAGTTTTGGAAGTTGGGGACTTGGCTCAGAACTGAGGAGCTCACGTGCGGAGAACCTGGACATGTTCTGACAGATCCAGAAGCCCACAGGTTTCTAAAACACTGGAGGCTGCGGTCAGGCTTCTTGGGTCATGGTGAGGGGGGCGTGGAGTCGGAGTGCCAAGGGCACAGCGCCGTTCTCTGTCCCAGAAAGACATGCTTATTCCATCACCCAGTGCAGAAAGTGGTTAAAAGACTCAGGGTTGGTCAGGAAGCTGATGCGGTCAGCCTTATCTCCCGGCGGGGGGGGGGGGGGGGGGGCATGGTGGGGCTCCAGCAGCAGGGAAGGGGTCTGGGACGGAGAGTAAGGACAGCTGTTGGTCTGAATTCTGTACTAGAACCGTACCGGCCTGCCTCGTCCCTGCATCCTGGAACGGCTGAGGTCAGCTCCTCCCAAGCTTGCGCTGCACACAGTAAGGCCCAGGCTTTTCGCTGCCTTGTGGTCCTCCTGGACAGCGACACACACTTTCTGTGTCATATTCTTCTCTTTTACTCTGCAAAAGCGCAGGTCTCCACTTGCTAGATGAGTCTCGCCAGCCCCACATGCCGCTGAGCACAGACCTGCATCCTGCAGGGTCCCAGGGACGGTCCAGAACTGGGCCCTCGGTGCTGTGGCTAGGGCCTACCTGACACCTGCCTCCTTCACAGCCTCAGACCATAGGACCTTGGAATGTGCTTCTCTGGAGTTTATGGTCTGAGACTCAAAGGTCTGAGCCCTGCGTAACACCTAAATCCCCCTTTGGATTCTCTGCACCTGCTTTCTTCTTCTCTTGCCAACAACCCCACAATTCTGACTTAGCCTGAGTCCCAGTGGTTGGCTTTGGGGTCATAGGCAGCCTCCTATAGGGGTTTCACAAGGAAGTAGTGTCCGAACCATTTGCTTCCAGGGTAATGCCTAGGCTTCCTTAAAAACTCTTCAGTATCTGAACGAAGTTATTTGAGGTTCTACGGAAGCCGTCTTCGTTCCCTCACTAGATGTGTTAGGTACCCATGCAGAAGCTCTGTGACCGCCTCACTAGAAGCCAGACCGTGAGCTGTGTCAGATGGTGGAGGCTCTGGGGGGCTTCCTGGAGGAGGTGGCATTTCAGAGTCACCTTCAGGCTTCCCAACACGGGCCTGAGCGGGGAAGAGGCCGGTGGTGAACTGGACAGGGGTGCGGGCTGTGTGCTGGGTGAGGGGAACTAGTGGGGGCTCCACGGGGCTTTCAGAAGCCTCAGCTGGCAGTGGACGAGGCCTGAGCCGGTTGGCAGCTGGACGGGTCCCCTGCTTGTGAGGTGTCAGCACCCCGGGCGGCCACCGAGCCGTAAGGGCGGAGGTGCTGAGATGGGAAGGTTGGGGAGGGGCGACTTCGGGACACCGGGGGGATGGGAGGGGACGCGCCTGGAGCTGTGGGGCTGAAGAGGGAGGGAGCCGGCCGGGTGCCTGCGGGGGGGGGGGGGGGGGGGGGGGGGGGGGGAGGAGGCAGAGCCCCGCCCGTGCCCCAAGCACCCTGGAGAAGAGGCTTCAGCCGTGCCTGCAGGCTGAGACCCCACCTCTGCTCTGGGTGGGGGACCCGCAGCCTTTCCCCAGGCCTGGGGTGGCCAGGACACAGGGTGCTCTGCAGGCAAGGGCGTGGCACACACGGGCTTCCTCCTGTCCGCCCCTCCAGGTGACCAGACCCTGCAGCTACAGCCGGAAGTCCCACTTTGACTTCGAGGAGGAGGACGTGGACAAACTTGAGATCCGGTGAGCGAGAAGCAGGGTTTCTGGGCTCTGGCCTGGCGGCTACAGCCTGGGCCCACCTCGTCTGTTGGTTTTCTGTGCTTCTAAAAGGAAGGGAATGCAAAGAAAGGAATTTTCAGTTTTCTGATAATTTCAATACTAGGACATGGGGAGTTGGTTTGAAGGAAGAGCCAGGAACTTGCCAGGGGCTCGTGGGGTGGCTGAGAGGACATTGACTCAGGCAAGGGACGGTGCGGTTTTAGTGCCGTACTTTCCGCGAGGGGAGGCCAACGGCCTCATGCTGCCCCCCGCACCTGGCCCTGCTGCCCGGAGGTCCTCACGCACTAGGCCTGGGTGTGTGTGGTCTGCAGCAGAGCCCACCGCAGCTCCAGCCCCATCGGTCCTGGGAGCCTCGGGGTCTCACCTCACGCCCAGCACCTGGTGCCCTCAGAGACCTTAGCCGGGCATCTTTTCCTGTCGCTCTGGCCCAGGGCTGACCCTGAGGGACCCTGCAGATCTGAGCTGGCTTGCAGTCTGGTTTCCTGTGGGCTCCCAGGCTTCCCACTGGGAAGATGGGGCTCAGGCGGGAGGGGGCGTAGCCGGAGGCCCTTCCCCCCACCCAGTGTGGGACCCTCGGGCTCGCTCTTTGTTCCTCTCGTAGCTTCGAGCGCTGAGGGAGGCCAGTCTCCACATACGGGTTGAGGTGTTTCCGCTTTAAGTCTTCCGTTACAGAGAACCCGCGGCCGGGGGGGCCCCGGCTGCGTGTCTGAAAGTGCTGGTGGCGGTCAGAGGCCGTGCTGGAGGTTGGCCATGCCCCAGCCATCCTCGGACACACAAGTCTCTCTCTTGTCCAGAAACAGAAGTGTTCGTACAAGATTGGGCTTTAAATTTGAGAGTGGAGTCCTAGCTGTTGCATTCTAAGCAGACGAACCAAAAACGTTCTTGAATGTTGCCCTTATTGAAAAGAAGAAAAGACAGCCTGGCAGCTCTGCTACGGGGTCGCTTGGCGAATTAAAGGTTCTGCTTTCCTTATTCTGAAAGTGCCATGGGGCCACCGTTCCTCATGTCCCTGACGCATACATGCTCCTCTAGTAAACCCTGTACCTTCCAGACACCTGTGGCTCCCGTCTGGACCTCGGGGGCCACAGAGGGCTGACGCGGCCTTCTAGAACTTTCCCCATGACTGCCGAGGGTGGTGAGAGGGGACTGGTCTTGGACTGTCCGCTCCTGGAGTAATCTGGTGCAGGTGTTTACCGTGGGGTGCGCGGATGTTTGCTGCCTCGCACCAGGGACGCCGTTCCTCCCTCCGTGCTCCCATCCTCACACACGCACAGTTGCTGTGGCCCCACATCAGAGGGAACACCGAGAGTGCCGCCCTGGGGCACCGTCTTCCCATGCTGTTGAGAAGACCGAAGGCCCCTCACCCTGACACCAGGCCCCCAGCTCCTCTCCCTGCTCCAAGGCCCAGGGAGACCCCCGTCTCTGTGCCAGGCACATCCTGCGCTGACCACACATTTCAGACATCCCCAGTCGGTGTCACTCCTCACAGAGATGGGGCCATGGGACCAGGGGCTCTGATCTGCCCCAGTCGCCCCTGGGGATGCTGAGGAGTGCTGCTGTCCCCTGCCCTCCCAAGGTCACCCCATACGGAGATCTGTGTACCATTGGCTGTTTTTCAGAGTTGACCTCTGGAATGCCAGCAACTTGAAATTTGGAGATGAGTTTCTGGGAGAGCTGAGGGTTCCACTGAATGTGCTCCGCCAGTCCAGCTGCTACGAGGCCTGGTAAGGCGTCTGTGCATGGCCCACGCCGTCCTGGAGGGTGGACAGACGGAGCTGCCGTGAGCAGCCAGAGTGTGGTGGCGCAGGTCGGCTCCCACTGGCCAGACGCTGTGGCTTTGCATATGGTCCCTATTTGCTCTGAAAGGTGACAGGGTTGCCGGTGAGAAACAGGCGGCGCACGGCTGCCGTTTTGGCAGGCGGGGGCGGGGGGAACGTCACGAGAATGGTGGCTGAGGCCCTCGACAGGCACAGAGGCAGGGCCATGAGAGCCTTGCAGCTTTGAGGACAGGCCCGGGCAGGGAGGGCAGGCCACGTGCTCCTGAGGGCCGGCCATACCAGGCCTTCCCCAGGACCCATCCTCCCAGGAGTCACCTGCTGAGGAACAAGGCAAAGGCGTTGTTCCAGGCAAACCTCCCCGCGCTCTGCCTCCAAGCTCACCCAGTGCCTTTATTTCCTGATCGTTTCATAAATCAGCAGCGACTGTCATCACTGTGACCGCAGACACCCACGATGGGGACATGGCATGGTCACAGGCCATATGCCACAGGCCAGACCCACCATGTGGGCGGGCTTCTGTGTGTTGTTCCTCACGGCAGTTTACAGTCACCGGGACACGGGAATTTGTCTTCCAATTCCGTGAGGACAGCGGGTTCTGTTCCTGCTGGGAGCACTCCTAGTCCTGTCACCAAGAAGGGACAGTTACACAGCAGCCCTGTGGATGTCCACCCAGGACCTCAGGTGCCCTGCCCAATGCAGGGTGCCCACGTCCCGTGGCAGGCTGCGTGGCCCATCAGCTCAGAGCAGCCAGGGTTCCCGCACGGCCTCGCAGGGTGGGACCGAGACAGGAGTGTCCAGTGAGAAAACCCCGAGGATGGGACCCTGTGCTCCAGTGGCTGGCCTGCTTCCCAGCGCCGTCAGCATCCCCTCTGCCACCGGGAGCTCTGGCGCTCGTTTGCCGGAGTAATGTCAGCTCAGCTCTCGCTGCCCTCCGTTGTCCGGGGCCCGTCTCCACAGACGGGGTTCCCTTAGCTCCTTTCTCATTTCCCTCTTCTCGAACTCCTACTCCTTCCATCCTTCCTGTGTAATCAGCCCCCAGAGGGAAGATAAGGTGGGGGGCACCCCACGACACGCACCCCGCAGGGGTCTCTTGCTGAGAAGGGCTCTGGCGCCTGGACCCTGTGTGTTGTGGGGGTGCTGTGGGGAATGACCGAGCATGCCCCCACACTCGGACCCTGCGGGGGTGGGGGGCTCCCACAAGAAACACCCTGCGGGGGGGGTCAACAGGGAAGTAGCCCCAGCGCAGGGGGCAGAGAGGTGTCTAGCACAACTTCCTGGAGCCCCTCCTGCCTCAGACCCCGACACAGCCCATGACAGGCGACCAGTGCATCCTGGAGGGAACCGGCCCCTGGAGGGTGCTGCCGCCTCACGCCGCCCTTCCCTTGTGTCCCACGTCCAGGTACTTCCTTCAGCCCCGAGACAACGGCAGCAAGAGCCTGAAGCCGGGGGACTTGGGGTCCCTGCGGCTGAACGTGGTGTACACTGAGGACCACGTCTTCTCGTCCAACTACTACCGCCCGCTGCGGGACCTGCTGCTGAAGTCTGCGGACATGGAGGTGCGTGAGTGCGCGGGCTCCTGCCGTGTCCTGGGCTGCCTGCCGCCCCCCCTAGTGAGCCAGACCCCGCGGCCCTCCAGACCCCCGTGGCCCTCCAGACCCCCGCGGCCCTCCACGGCTGGCTGCTGACCCCAGCTCCTCTCCTCCGGCCCCCCGCCCACTTCCCGGCTCTGGACCCCAGCTCCGGACCCTGGTCCCCCAGTCCTATCTGGCTCCAGCCCCCACCCCAGCCCTGCCCCTGACTTCTGAGTCCCCTGCCTCAGTCTGGCCCCCCTCACCCCGGCTCAGACCCCAGCTTCAGCCCTCAGCTCCCTCATCCTTGTTTGGCTCCACCCCGTAGCCCCTCCCAGCTGCCCCCCGCCCACATCCACCCCCACAAGGCACGGAGCCCAGCTCTGGCCCTGCATCTGGGCAGCCAGCTCCTGGCGGGTGACTTTCCCCTGCTTACTGTCCCCCAAGTCTGCTCTGTGTCCAGAAATACCTGCATCTCCCTTTGCTGGAGGGATAGAGGCTCCCACCCCACACGCCACCTGCAGTTAGAGCCCTGCGGGGACCCAGCAAGGCTCATGGTTTCAGATTTGTATGAGGCCCTGAGGTCATCGACCTTAGTTCTAGAGGTGGAGTCGGGTGGACGGACCCCGAGGAGCGGACCTGGAGCTCATGTACAAATCAGAGGGTCTGACGTGGGCTCTAGAAAAGACGTGGTTCTTTGCTTAGCTTGGTGGGAGAGGCACTACGGGACAGAGTTGGGGTCCGGGCCCCCAGCGTGGGGACCCTGAACCACCTACTCACTGACCATGCCCGGTGGGGAGTGGGGGTCTGCAGCCAGCCCCCAGAGCTGGGGGGCTCGTGCTGGGGTTCCACGGTCTCTCCCGTTGCACAGCCAGTGTCAGCATCCGCCGCGCACGTCCTGGGCGAGGTCTGCAGGGAGAAGCAGGAGGCGGCCATCCCCCTCGTGAGGTTCTTCCTGCACTATGGCCGAGTGGTGCCCTTCATCAGCGCCATCGCCAGCGCCGAGGTCCAGAGGACCCAGTGAGTGACCTCACCTCCCCGAGGGCTGCGGCCTGAGCCAGGGACCACCCTGTGGTGAGGGCCGGCCTGGGGCGGTGCCCTCAGCGCTAAAGAGAGTGCAGAGCTGGGACAGCAGAAGGGACCCGTACCGGCTCAGCTGTTCTGTCCGAGACACGCTGTTTCTTAAAAATGCACCTTTTCTGGGAAATCCCAAGGTGTGAGTGCAGGCAGGAGGTGAACAGGGCGCGGTTGCCCCGGGGGTGATCAGAGGGCGGCAGCTTCAGTACTAGGCCCACAGCAGAGGGCCGGGTCACGGCTGCCCCAGGACCTGTGCCCACTCTGCGGGGATGGGTCTGCCAAGAAGAGTCTGTCCCTGGAGCTCTGGGTTCAGAATCTGGGTTCAGATCCAGATTGCACCCGAGTAGAGAGATGGCGTGAAGCACGTCCTATTACGCTCGATCCTGCTGGACCTCCCGGCTGACCTTGGGTCTGGTCCTTAGAGGCAATAACTTGGTGCAAAACGGGCCTCACAAAGGGGCGGGGCTGTGGGTGTGGGGAGGTTGTGCTGAACGGTCCAACGGTCGAACGGCCGTATACGGTAGGTGTGTCACACACGCCCGCCTGAGGGGCTCAGGATGTCCCCATGCGAAACATCTGGCTGGGTCTCGTTTTCCTCTCAGAACATCTGGAAGCAGACGAGCAGGGTGAGCTGGGTCTGTCTCTGCATCCACTGGGCGTGTACCAAAGGACACGCTCGGTGTCCATCATCCCCTTGCTCTCCAAGACAGACTTGCCTCCAACGCTGTTTTACAGGGACCCCAACACCATTTTCCGAGGAAACTCGTTGACCTCCAAATGCATTGACGAGACGATGAAGCTGGCCGGGATGCACTACCTGCACGTGACCCTGAAGCCCGCCATAGAGGAGGTGAGTGGGGGGGGTCCCACCCTGCGGCCCCCAAGGACTGGGCACATCAGGGTCTCCAGCAGGCCCAGTGCTGCTGGGTAGGGGCGTGAGGGACGCTCGCCCCCCCCATGACATTGCAGGTGGACAGCAGGCAGCTCTGACCCCTGTCCCCCAAGACATTGCACGTGGACGGCAGGCAACTGAGACCCCCTCCCCCCATGACACTGTGCGTGGACGACAGGCAGCCGTGACACCCCCCCCATGACATTGCATGTGGACGGCAGGCAGCCATGACCTCCCCATGACATTGCACATGGGCAGGCAGCCGTGACGCTCCCCACAACACTGCACACGGACGGCAGGCAGCCGTGATCCCCGCCCCGCTGTGACACTGCACGTGGATGGCAGGCAGCCGTGCAGAATGGGTGGCACGCAGGAGCCCCTGACTGAGGGGCTCATGCTACCTCCTCCCCAGCCTCTGGAGCACACACTGCAGGGACCTGCCCTGTGTGCTCCAGGATCTTTCTCATTGTCTCAAATTAAAAAAACGTTTACTTCAGAAAGTTCTTCATTCTACTCAAGACAGAAAGACACGCAGAGAAACACTGGTTTTTCGGAGAACACCCCTTTCTTTCAGCTGTGGGTCCCCTGAACCCGCGTGCAGTGTTCTTTCTAGGGTCCTCTTGGCTGTGCGTGGCCTTCTGGTACCGCTCACGCGGGGGCAGGCACAGCCGAGGCCCCACATGCTTCCTCCCCCCGGCCCTGAGCACCTTCCCCGACCTTTGTGGGGTCCCTGAGGGGTAGCAGTTCCCCCAGAGCAGCTTCGTCAAGTGCAGGAACGTGAGGAAGTTTAGACTCGCCTTCTGGTTTGATCCGTGGGCGCAGACCTGCCAGCACTTGGAAGGAACCACGTTTTTAACCCTGATGAAACCTGGTCACATGCACTGATGGGGAGCGGTCTTTGAGAAGGTCCAGAATTCCTCACAGGCCGTGGCGGCACCCGTGGCCGCACTGAAGGCCCTCCTCCCCCTGCCGTGGAGGGCCTGGCTGTGGCTCCTGAGGTGGCTCCCAAGCCCAAGGCCCCTGACCTCCACCCACCTGGGATCCTGGACCAATGGTCATTCACTCCTTGTAAATGCACTTTCCAGATATGCCAGGGCCATAGACCCTGTGAGATCGACCCTGTGAAGCTGAAGGATGGGGAGAACCTGGAGAACAACATGGTGAGATGTTCTCGTCTGCTCAGCATTCTCCAGAGCTGGCTACCTAGCCACAGGAGCTGGGCACGTGGCCACCTTGGGGGCTCCGCGTCTCTCTAGGGTTTGGGGTGGGACCCTACTGGGACGCTCTCTCGGCGTGTCCTCCGGGGCTGGCAGCAGGGAGACCAGCCCTTTGGCTGCTGACTCCCGTGCCATCCCTTCTCCTGGGGTGACCGGAGCCTCCCCACCGGGCTGGCCCGTGACCCGGCTTCTTCCCAGTCTGGTCCGTCCTCCTGTGGCAGCAGACGTGGGTCCCAAACCCTGGCCATGTCCCCCTGTGTTCTCCTGAAGAGGGTCTGTCTTTAGGACAACCAGACTCTCTGATGGGACAGGGAGCTGTCATCTTCCATAGGGTTTCCTCAGAGTAAGTCTTTTTCATGCCTGTAAGGGAAAGAGATGGGGCTCTCTGTCGGGAAGGTGCATTCTGGGGGATTTCGTCCCTGTCCCAGTTAGTGAGATCAGCGTTGGGGAGGGAACCGCGAGGCTGGCCCCCCGCAGAGCTGCAGGGGCTCGCCTCGTGCTCACCCGCTGACGGCTGACCGCTACGGCCCCGTGCGCCTGCTGAGGGGACGTGCGTCTGAGGCCGCCACGGCTCTCCACGGCTGCTCCCTCCCTGGTGTGCTCGACTGCCGTGGGGGCCGGCAGGGCGGCCTGGGCCACAGGGGCCCTCGGGGTGACCGGGCTGCACCCGTTGCAGGAGAACCTGCGGCAGTACGTGGACCACATCTTCAGCGCCATCACCAAGTCGGGGGTGAGCTGCCCCACCGTCATGTGTGACATTTTCTTCTCTCTTCGGGAGGCGGCTGCCAAACGTTTCCAGGGTGAGTCTTTGGTGTGGAAAACGTCCCAGGCTCCTTACGGGGAGGTTCCTTTCCCCGCCACCAGGCTCCTCGAAGCCAAGAAGGGACGTTGCGGAGTCCATGTAGACGTGGTTCCAGCTGTGGCCGCGGGGTGGGCGCCCGTGCACACACAGCATCCCTCTCCTGCCCTCCCGGGCTCCAGGTCGTGCCTGCCGTGGCCCCCGGGGGAACCCGGCCCAGGCCCTAGGTGGGAAGGCCGGCTGGCCGGATTTTGTCGCAGTGGTTAGTTGAGGATGCAGCGGTAACTTCTGTGTGTTTGGGCCTGTCCAGTCGGAGAAGCCGCCCCCCGGTTCTTCCTGGTTCTGGGTGGAAGGTCAAGGCAGCACTCGGCGCCCCACGTTGTGCACGTCTGTCTTCTGCACCTTCGGGAGAGACAGGATGACCCCTTTGTGGACGTGGGACAGGAGGGGTCCCGGGGATGAATCGCCTTTTCAGTCGTGCCTGTTGGTTGGGGATTCATCGTGGGCAGACATGCCCACAGGCGGAACAAAGGTGGCCTGCTTGGGCGGCAAGTGTTAGGTTGACTCATGCCTGGGGTCCAGGCTGAGGAGGGGGCAGTGCGGTGTCTGGGTCCCCACGCCATCCAGCAGGCCCCGACCATGGCCCTGCCGCACCCTTTCCTGAGGAGCCCGTGGGTCACCCAGATGTGTCCTGCTGTCTCCAGAGACCGCAGAGCCCCCTGAGCAGTCCCCGGACCCTGCCGGGAGCCCCTCCTGCCCGCCGGTGGGGACGCCTCTTAGCTTGTCTCACCGTGGAGGCTGGGCCTCACATCCAGCTCTGTGGACAGGCCCTGCTGCCTTCAAGCTCATGGGCTTCAAGCTCGGGGCGCCCCGCCCCTCAGACACTCAGGGTCATTCGGGGTCGGCGAGCCAGCGCCTGCCTGTCACAGCCCCGTCCCCAGGAGGCGCCGAGCTATTCGTGGTGCCGAAGGGGAGAACGAGCCGGCAGGTGCGCTGGCTTGGGCCAGGCCCGGGACTCCGCGCCCTCACCGGACGCCCTGTCCTGGCCGCAGATGACCTGGACGTGAGGTACACGGCCGTGAGCAGCTTCATCTTCCTGAGGTTCTTCGCACCCGCCATCCTGTCCCCCAACCTCTTCCAGCTCACGCCTCACCACACGGTAAGTGTGCGTCTGCCCCGTGGACTGGCCAACCCGCCCTCCTGGTGGCACCTTGCTGGGAGGCGGGGGAGCCGTGAACTCCTTTATCCACGAGAAGGGGGGCGCCTTGGCCAAGCTGCGTCTGTCGAGCGCGGTTGGCCGCCGTGACCAGGACCCCTCACTCCCACCTTCGGGAGAGCAAGCGCTGTCGGTCTGCCGTGCATTCAGTCACGCGCGGTCAGCACGTGCGGCCCAAGCCCCTCAGGTCAGGCTCCAAGTGACGCACCAGCGGAGCGTGCCTGGCAGAGACTGACCTCGGCAGGAAGCCCGGGGCCAGGGGCCTCAGGGGGTCAAATGAATCCTCCAGGCCAGGGGACAGGCCAGCGAGCCCCGCCATGGGCGCCCCGGGCAGGGCGGGGAGGCTCCTCCTTTAAAGTTTCCCTCGTGCCTGCCGTGGGCAGCTGCTCTCCTCACCCTGCCCTGCGCGCTGGCCGGCGCCCTGGGGAAGCGCTGGGGTCCAGCCCGCAGGGCCGAGAGCGCCACGGAGGAGCCTGGAGGGACGTCCCGTGTCCCGCGCTCGCCAGCCTCCTGTTGCTCGCCAGCAGCACGCGGGGGCTGGGGGGCTTTTATGTGCTGTCGCCGTTTCGTTGGCCGTGCGATTCTGGGTTCAATCGCAGCGTTTCTGTGGAACCGAAACGAGACTTGCCTTTCTCGTTCCCCTTTGACAGGACCCACAGACGTCGAGGACGCTGACGCTCATCTCCAAGACTATTCAGACTCTGGGCAGCTTGTCCAAGTCGAAATCCGTAAGTCGTTTACTTTCACCGTGTCTGCTTGTCCCAGGAGAGAGTGTGGGCTCAACGCAGGGACAGGGTAAGAAGCAATAAAACCCACACGGCCCCCACCCGCCGTCTGAGCAGAGAGAACGTTCCAGCGGCTTGCGGGCTCCTCTCTGCCTTCCTGAGCCATGAAACGTTGCGTTTCGAGACTGTTTTGTTTGGGGGCACATTAGCCTTAGAGACTGGGCTTGCTTTCTGAGCCTGTGCTCTGTGCTCAGGTCCGCTGTGGGGATGACCACGCACCACACATCTTCACAAGCCAGCACCGTGCGGGATGATGTCTCTTAACAAGCAGTAAAGACACAACATCCCCCAGACCAGTGGTGGGTTCACCCTGCTATGCTGCAGGCAAAGCCAGTGGGGAGGAGTTCGAATCCTGAGTCTTCCCTGGAGAGAAGGGGTAGTGATGACATCGGCCCCGCCAAAAGTCAAAGTCCCTGTTGGTAGGGAATGCCAAGGTCTTGCTGAGCAAGAGGGTGACCTGGGGTACCACGGAGTTGCCCCTCCCAGGGCCCAGCAGTCCCCTGGCCAGACCAGAGCTCCTGTGTTTGGGCCAACGCGCCCAGCAGGGCAGGGCCCTCGGCCACAGGGCTCCTCAGCGGCATGGGGTGGGGGCCGTGCTCCCCTCACAACTCACTTCATTTTTCTCATGAACAAGTGGGTTTGAAACCCCGTCAGACCAACCTATGGTGGAGGGAGTCACAGGAGCACATGGTGCGTTACCAGCTCCCAAGTGGGGGTTCCGGGCTGCGGGGGCCTCAGCTGCGAGCCTCTGAGGTTGTCTGTGCTTGAGGCAGATTTGCTGCCCGGAGCGGGCCAGGGGCTCCTCCGGGGGCCGCCTGCCGCACGCCATGTCCTGCCTGGGTCCCGAGGGTCTGTCCCGGCCCTCACAGCCCCCAGAACGCGGGTCATGACATGCAGGTTTGAGGACATTGGGGACTGTGTGTAGCGATGTCAACATGTGGACGGCTGGGCACATGCCCTGGGGACTGAAGGCCAAGGCCGGCTGCACAGGGATGGGGCCGGTGGGGTGGAGTGAGGCCTCCCCTGTGCCTGGACCTGCAGGAGCCCCCAGCCCAGCCCAGCCCAGCCCAGCCCTCCCCTTCTGTTGTCTGGGGGGTCCCATCGCTGCCGACAAGCAGCCCCCGTGTGGGAGACGCTGGGTGGATTGCCACGGAGCCAAGCGTGTGGCGTCCCACAGCAAGTGGCCGCCCCACGGTCTGCCGGCCGGAGCCTGGATGAACGGGTCTGGGCTGGCTGTGAGTTCCGCACGGACCCACCTCTGTGCGTCCGGAAACTGCAGAGCGACCTTCCGCGACACGGTCGCTGCAGGCACGGCGTCGGGAGGGCCGCCCTCCATGTGTCCCTGAGGGGTGCTCCGACGTCCACCTGTCAGGGCCCTCGCCAGCCCCCGGTCCCGGGAGAGGCTCCCTTGTGGCAGCCTCGTTGTGACCTGTGTCCGCAACAGAGACCTGGAACCCAGATGTCAGCCTCCATGCTCGCTGAGGGACCCCGACCTGTTATCAGGGTCCAGACCCCGGCTTCCGGGGTTTCGTCTGCGTGGCTGTGCATGCTTTCGTGGTTTCCGTGGGCAGTGCCCGGGCTGACCCTGGGGCCGCAGTTACACTGGCATCTGCACTTGCTGAGTGACCGCCACCGGAGCCGGTCGTGACGCGTGCCTCCAGATTGTTCCCCTCGGAGCCATGTGCCCCAGACCCATAGGCTTTTGTTCAGTGACCTGTCTCATTTCAGGCGAGTTTCAAGGAATCCTACATGGCTGCATTTTATGAATTCTTCAACGAGCAAAAATATGCTGACGCAGTAAAAAATGTGAGTGCGGGTATCAGTTAACATGGACGGACTGCCCCCTGGCCTGACATGCTACTGTAGTTGCAGAAAATGGAGTAAAAATTCGCAGAATGTAGAACCTGCCATTACCCACTGTCCCGAGTTCAGAGCATCATTCCCTGGTAGTCCGTGACACCCCCCACAGTCCCCAAACTCTGCACCCCAAACCCCCACGATCCCAGGACTCTCTGCACCCCAGACCCTGTGATCCCCTTGCACTCCCTTCTGTTCTGACCACCCCCTACGGTCCCCAGACTCCCTACACCCTGGGGACTGTGGACCCCTTCCAGACTCTCCTCTTTGGAACCGTCACGCGTTCTCCCTCAGTGCTGGGTGCTGTACTTCTCAAAGACCGCCCTGTGTTCCTTGCAAATCCCTTTCCTCGCCCTTCTGGCCGTCTACTCCTGGGGCCCCCACAGATGCCTGAGTCATGGAGCCAGGGCACCCGCAATCAGGGACATGGCTCATGGAGAGAATCTTTTCTGGATCCTAAAGCTTTACTTTCTCTGTTGCGATTAGAAACACTCACACCTACTTACCTCTCAGAAATCATAAAAACCAGGATCCAGAAGGGGAGGAAGGGAGAGGAGCTGGGGCACATAACGGTTGGGGGAGGGAATCCAGACAGGTCATGGATTAGGAGAGGAGGGCATCCCGGGAGGAGAGCCCCTGCTGCTTCCCCTCCTGCAGAGATGCATGCTTGGGTCACCTGTTGACGTGCAGGTGGGCCTCCCAGGGCCACCAGAAGCCTGGCGGCCAGGCGGAGCGGTGGCTGCGGGTGCAGGGTACCTCCTCGGGCGGGGGGCGGGTGTCTGCTGGGAGGCCGGGCTCAGGGTCGGACGCTTCCCTCCTGGCCACGGTAGGGACACGCTTAGGACCCTGACTCTTGCAGAAGGACCCAGATTCCTCGCTCCCGGCATCAGGAGAGATGTCGCGTTCTGCTGTTTGTGTGTGAGAAGGAACCTAACCAAGTGTGCCATCTCCCCCTTAATTGTCTGCTGTCTTTCCCACCTTAGTTTTTAGATCTGATCTCATCTTCTGGGAGAAGAGACCCCAAGAGCATAGAGCAGCCCATCCTGCTTAAAGAAGGGTAAGGCCCACGTCTGCTGCTGGGCCAGCAGGAGCAAGACACGGGGGCGGCGCTCCTGACCGTCCCTGCCGTGAACTGGGGCATCTCTGCCCACGTGGCTGGTGACCTCCCAACTCAGAGGCAGCCAGACCCTTCAGGGGCTGTCCTGGCCTGGGACATCATGGCCTTTGTCCACATGTCTGATCCAGTAAGACTGCTCACAGTGCGAGTCTGAGACGTGGTGTTGGCTTGCCTTCTCTGTGCCTCTGCCCTGCGGGTTGTGTGAGTGGAGAAACATCTGTCCGTGGGAGAGAGGGGAATGGGAGGCTGACCCAGCCTTGCATGTGGGCTGGCTCACACCTGAGTTCAAGACCCTGTTCCACTCCACCAGGCCCCCCACTCCTGAAACATCTCTGGCTCCCATTATTCTGTTTTCTGGAGCACCTCTGCCCCGGGTCCGCAGGCCTGCCCACCTTCGTATAGGCGTCCCTTGTTGGTATTCCCAGTGTGGGAGATGGGGAGGGGGCGGCTGCTTTGTTGGAAGTCTGATGAACCTGCTGTCCTTGCCGACTTACAACTTAAAGTTAAACTTTTACAGGGCGCCTGGGTGGCTCAGTGGGTTAAGCCTCTGCCTCTGGCTCAGGTCGTGATCTCAGGGTCCTGGAATCGAGCCCCGCATCGGGCTCTCTGCTCAGCGGGGAGCCTGCTTCCCACCACCACCACCCCCCCCACCTGCCTCTCTGCCTACTCGTGATCTGTGTCCATCAGATAAATAAGTAAAATCTTTTTTTAAAAGAAGTTAAACTTTGCAAAAGTAGAGACCTTTGCCTTTTGGTGTTTTACCCTATCACTTGGAAATACAGTGAGATGTGGTGTGGGAAGCTGTTGGCTGTGCCCTGAGCCCCAACACTCACCCACAGACGTGCCCTGTTCACACAGGTTCATGATCAAGAGGGCACAGGGGCGAAAACGCTTTGGGATGAAGAATTTTAAGAAAAGATGGTTCCGCCTGACCAACCACGAGTTTACCTACCAGAGAAGCAAAGGTAACGAGAGAAACTGGCTTTTTACTGGATTCCCATAGTTTATTCTGAGGGGCCAGAGCCTGGACTGGGGCCCTGATGGGGTTCCTGCCTGCTTTCCTGGATGAAACGAAGCGCGTAGAGTAAGTGTCCTGGGGCGTGAGCAGTTTCTGGTCACAGGAGTGCGTGGGAGACGTCCTCCTGCCAGGTGGCCTGGGTGGGGGTGGGGAGCAGGTGGGCCTGTGCCCCTGGGCTCCTGCGTGGGAGTCGGGGTCCTGCCTGGGCCATGTCCTCTGGGTCTGAGGGGGCATAGGTCTCAGCGACATGGCACTGGGAAGTAAAATGTGGGGACAGGGCTCCTCGAGAAGGCACGTGGCCGGAAGGTCAGGGTTCCCGGGAGGCAGCACCAGGTCCTGCTGCGTGAGGCCCGCTGTTCTGTGGTGTCCCCTGCGACCCCTTAAGGCAGGGAGCCTCTCGCCCACCCTGTCATGAACCCCTTTCTGTGGCAGGAGACCAGCCTCTGTGCAGCATTCCCATCGAAAACATTCTGGCCGTGGAGAGACTGGAGGAGGAGTCCTTCAAGATGAAGAACGTGAGTGAGGCACCACCGCGGGGCTCTTGGAGGTTTCTCCCTCCTCTGCGCTCGTTGCCCCACCAGCACCCACTGCTGCTGCCCTCCTCCTGCAGCCCCGTCACTGGGGTCCTTGCAAGCTGGCCGGAGGCAAAGAACCTGCTGGAAGTGCTTTCCTGGCAGCTCCAGAGGCCGGAGGGCCAGCTCCGGGACCGTTGGGTTTCTTTGAAACAAATTTTGATCTGGTTTTGAACTTACAGGGAAGTAGCGAGAATACAGTAGGACCCCCGTGTCCCTGAACCCAGAATTGCATGTGGTTTGTCTTTGTCTGTTTGCTGAGCATGTACGTCCCTCCTCCTCGTCTCTCTCCGTACACACGTGTTTCTCTGAGCCACATAAACACTCAAGTGTGTTCCCTGCAAACAAGGACGTTCTGGTGTGGAGGCAGACCCCCAGGTCCAGAGGCAGGACCCCAACACTGGTGCAGCGTCGCCTCTGACCACCGCCCGTGTTGGGACTCCGCCAGCTGAGCTCCTGGCCGTCTTTGTAGCTGCTGTGTGTCGCCAGCCACGCGCCACAAGGTGCATTCTCCATCCTTTTCTGGACCTGGAACATTCCTCAGCCTTTCTCGGTGTTCTTAAAGCACAGAGGCCAGGTGTTGTGGGTGTCCCTCAGCTTGGGTGGCAGGTTCAGGTGCCCTCTCCTGCCTGGAATCCCATGGAGATGACCACGTCCCCTGGGTGTGTCTTGTCAGGACGGCTCACGGTGACCGTGGGACACACGCTGAGCTGTGTCCACCTCTGGCTCCTGGCCTCCCTTGTCCGCTCAGTACTTCTTGGCTTTCTGCGGTGGAGAGCTCCGTCCCACAGAGGTTCCACCCTTGTCTGTCAGGGCCACGTCTTCTTCAGGGCTGGCGTCCCTCGCTCCCAGTGGGTGTGGGACGTGACAGCGTTCTTGCCCGCATCGTCAAAACACCCATCACCAGCACACACGGCCGAGCGCAGGCGGGGTTTCCAAGGGAGCCGCCAGGGACATACCTGGTCTGATTTGGGGCGAGGCTCAGAGGGGAGACTTCCTGTGTGTCCCCACGGAGGGTCCTGTGGGGGAGCCCACACATCAGGTCTGCTTACTGTTTGACGCTTTTCAAAAAGCACAGATCTCCGGGGACCATCTGTGTGGCACAGGCAAAAGCATGTCCAGGTCTCCTTTTCACCACACACCTTGGAGCTTGGTCGGGGAGGAAGTGCCCCTGCCCACTACTGTGGCCGCCATGGCTGCCGTGGCCTGGGGCGGGGGGGGGTTACAACTCTGGCCCAGTCTCCGGAGGCACAAATGGGCTCACGGAGGTAGAAGGAGCTCGCGTGTCTCCTGTGGGGCAGGAGCTCAGACCCGCCCTTGTGTCCGAAGGCCTGTGCACATGGTCCGTCTGCTGTGGCCCCAGGCCCAGCCCCCCTTCCCCGTGTCGCTGGTCATTTGCTTCACTGGTTGTGTCTTCCTGAGTGTTGCCAATCGCCCCCAACACCACAGGCTTCAGGGAGCTCAGATGTTGGAGCCCTGCGTTCCCTGAGAACCTTCTTCAGACGCTGGGAACCATCCCTAGTAGCCACCCCTCTAGGAGGACGGTCCTTGCACAGCGTCTCACCCCGCGGGCTCTCCTACAGATGCTGGGTGTAGGGTTTAGAGGAAGGTCCCCAAGTTGGGTCTGCCTCCCAGGAGCTGACAAGGGCTCTGTCTTCCACCTCCTGTGTCAGTCTGTCTCGGCACAACTCAGTCGTCTAGTACCCAGTAGGTGCCTATGCCGCACTGTGTGGTGGGGGGACACAGCGGATCTGCTTCAGCTATGACGGGGCTGCTTCTGGCCCAGGGTCACTGAGGAGGAAGACCGATGAGCTCACGTCTCTGTCTGGGTCAAAGATGGACATCGGGCCCGTGTGGGGTGGCCCTGGCTGGATAGATGGGGAAGGCTGCCCCTGGCTGGACAGCCCAGCTCACACACAGCAGTTCCCACTCAGCCTGCACTGTCCCTTCACCTGGACTACTGGAAGGGGTTTCTGGGGCAGGCAGATGGCCCCACGGCAGACGGTGTTTTCCCTGGGCCTGAGGGATGTTCGCATGTAGTGCCCGCCCCAGGAGGAATGCCATCTCCCGTGTGGAGGCATGCTATAGCGTGGGGTATCTGTTCCCAGGCCTGGGATTCAGCCCTCTCTAGGATGGGGGCCTGGGGCACCCATCCCTCCCTGGGCTCAGGGCCTTTGCACCTGCTATGCCCTTCCCAGGACCTCCACTGCCCCAGGACCCCTGCACCTCTCATCCCCGCTACCCCAGGACCTCTGTACCTATTGGTGCTTCTGGCTGGGACTCTCCATCTTCTGCTTTTCCCACCCAGCTTACTGCTACTTTAGTCATCTTTCTGACTTCAGCTGGGTCATTGATTTAAAAGGCTCTTGCCTGACTCTTCCTCCAACGTACACAGACCTTACACTTTGTGTTGGTTCTTATCCTCTTCCTGGCTGGAAGTTCATGGTGAGAGAAACTCTGTTTGGGCCACACTCTGTCCCCAGAACCTAGGGCAGTGCCTGGTATTCATGAATGGTTGTTGAATGAATAACGAGAGAGAGACGGCGGAGGCTCTGAGAAGCCTCAGAGCAAGTCACACTAACCTGGAAGGAGGAGGAAGAGCCTCCTGGTGAGGTGGGGTGGGTGGGGATTTTCTGATGGACACAACAGCACATACAAAGGTCCTGAGGTCAGTGTGGGATGAGGATAGGAGCATGGGCACGATAAGCTCTGATGTACCATGCACAGAAGACCGCCCCAGCTTAAAAAAACCAGGAGACTCAAAGAAACATTTTTGTCCTGACCACAGTGACCACAGCAGGGGGATGAGCAGTGCTACTCCTTTGCTTTTGGAATGGAGCTCCCTGAGACCCCAGGACATAGAGTGCCTTGGCCAGGCTGACCAGGGGTGACCCAGCTGAGTCGTGTTAGTCCCAAGTCCCCTAGGGGGTAGGCTATGGCTCTCTCAGTTTCAGGAACAGCAGGAAGCCCTTTGTGTGCTCCACAGCCCCCAGGCCTGTCCGGTCCCTCCCTCTGCGGCCCCCGGGCCTGTCCGGTCCCTCCTGGGCCTGTCCACATCCACACTGAGGACCCTCGTGGCCTAGGCAGGACACCTTGCCCGGCGGCCTTTCTGACCCTGACCGCGGTCTCCCCAGATGTTTCAGGTGATCCAGCCGGAGCGAGCGCTGTATATCCAGGCCAACAACTGTGTGGAGGCCAAAGCCTGGATCGACATCCTCACCAAAGTCAGCCAGAGCAACAAGAAGCGCCTCGCCGTCTACCACCCGTCCGCCTACCTCAATGGCCACTGGCTGTGCTGTAGGGCCTCCTCGGACACGGCGCCAGGCTGCTCCCCCTGCACCGGGTAGGTCTGTGCCTCCTCCCTCCCCCGAGGCCCTCCAGCCAATGCAGGCAGAGAGGGGCTCCCACAGGACCAGCCAAGGGGACGTAAATCAGCCCTAAACTAACAGGAAGGGAGAGCAGAGTGTATTGAATATAGACAGTGGGGTGGGGGGAGACGGGGACAGAGCATCCAAGAAACACAGAAGAGAAAACAGCAGGAGTCTCCTCGTTGCTTGGGGTCTGGGTTTTTCATGGGGATTGTGGTCTGGGGCATGTGTCCCCTTAGGTGTCCAGGAACTGGTCAGCACAAAGACAGGGTCCAGATGTCCTTTGTAAGTTATTCATTCCCTTGAGCCGGGGGTCTTGGCCTCGAGGTGTTTGGAGTGAGGGGTCTTAGCATTTCTGACAACCCTGCCTGCTCACTCCTCTTTTCTGTTGTGCTGGAAGACTCCGAAGATACCCTCGCCCGTTTGTCCGTTACAAGGAGGACGTAGGCCACGTGCATTTCAAGCATGTGTGGAGTGGGGCATGGGTGCCTAGCAAGAACAGAAGCTGGAAAAGAAGCAAAAAATAAAAAACATTTTTTGTTCTTTTTTTTTATGGGGTCCCTTCAGTCATTGTCTCACATCCACCCCGTGTGGCCAAGCACAGTAGTCCGGTTTGTGCACTGTACAGAGAAGTTTGGCCGAGGGGCCGCACTGGGGCTTGGCGAGCTGCACACGCACAGCTGCGTCTCCTAGGCTGTGCTCGCAATTCTTGAGGTGCCTCCATGCCAGAAAGCCCAGGCTCACCCTTGCAAAGGCCCTGTAGACTGGCAGGGGCCGTGAGCCGTCATGGGTGCTCTGTCTCCCAGGGGCCCTAGTGGTCCTTTGGGGTGGACGGCAGTGGGGAGGGTGCTCCGTGCTGAGGGAGGGCTCCCAGGGGTGGGGTGCTGTCGTGTTTCTTCCAGAAGAGCCCAGAGGTCTTCCACCATCCTGCTCACGCCCCCTTCAGTGTCCGCAGCTGCCATCTGACACCCTCTCCCTTCCTTTCCTGCCCCACTGTGAGCTGGGCCTCCTGGGGGTCTTGAGAGGCTCACTCGGCCCCTTCCAGAAGCAGGCCTGGATGCGTTCAGGGTGCCCCTGAGACCTGTGAGGACAGTGACGAATGCCGTCTGGTGCAGGGGTGAGAGATACCCCAAAGCTCACGAGGTGGGAGCAGAGGGTCCAGCTTCGTAGCTGAAAAGGCCGGGACTCGGGCATGTCCCCGCCGGTTCCACCCAGGAGAGGCTGAGTACTGTGTGCGGGGGCTGGGACCCTGCCACACCCTTGGGCTAGAGCCGGAGCCAGCGCAGGCTGCGAGAAGAGCGAGCACCTGGCCATCCTCACCTGGGGTGGCCCTGCAGGGCCCACCGCCCACGTGCACCAGGAGCGGCTCTTCCTGTTCCAGGTCCTTTCTTGTCAGAGCAGAACGAGCGTGGCCTGTCGGCTGCTGTCTCGGCAGGTCCGTAGGCCTCCGGTCCTCCGAGCCTGGGGACGGGCTCCCCTCAGTGCTCGTGAACCGGGTCCCGGCACCATCGGGGATAAGTTCACTGCGTAAGATCACTCCGTGATCCAGTGAGCTTTCGGAAAGGCAATGATTGACATCATCGTTCTTTCTGTTCTGTCACGGTGCTCGGGCAGCGGCCTCCCGGCAAACATCCAGCTGGACATCGATGGGGACCGCGAGACAGAGCGCATCTACTCCCTCTTCCACTTGTATATGAGCAAACTAGAGAAGATGCAAGGTAGGCCCGGCAGCCGGCGCGCCATCTCTGCAGGTGGCAGGTGGCCGCGGAGACACCCGCCGGGGTCCCGGGGGCACCTGGAGCATCCCGCAGAGACCCCCAGCCCTCGGAGCCCCCGTGGTCTGTGCGCATTCCCACACGTGGGCTGAAGGGGGAGCGCGTCCCGCAGGCCAGCAGATATGGGGCATGGACTGTAGGAACAGATTCTCTGCATGATCTTACGAGGGAATTTAGCCACGACCTCCAAGCCACCAAGTGCTTGAGAAGATCTTGTGTTTAACAACCTCCCACAGCCCAGACCGCGGACTCGTCTGCCTGCCGGGGGGGTGGGGGGGGCACGTGGGTGTGTGGACACGTGTGTGCGCGTGCATGTGGGACCGTGTTCCTGCCCAGAAGCGGCCGACATGATGCGTGCACACGTGGATTATCCTCTCCTTTGTGTTCTGAGGACGGTAGGTGACGTGGGAGTGATTGGGTTGAGATTCAGGAGAGGCGGTCAGGACGCGGAGGAGGGCCCGGAAGCCCCCTCTGAATGCAAAAGGAAGCTGAGTGGGCCTGGAAATACACCGTCCTGTTCTTCCTGTTCTGATCTGACCCAGCAGGCTCAGGGGTGGGCCTCAGCCCAGGACGGACTCCAGTCCCACCCTGCAAGCATTCTGCCTTGAGCTGTCTGTCAGGAGCTCAACCGCACCTGCCCTCGGGTCCCTTCCTGCAGCCTTGGGGGCCGCCTCTGGGTGCACGCCCAGGCTCCAGGCCCAGGCACTATCCCACATGGTGCACATGCGCGAGCATATGCTCCTGTGCAGACCCGCACACAACCGTGCACATGCGCACACCCACCCCTGCCCCACTGGGTCCTCCCCCAGCAAGTGTGCACACCCGGCACTTGGCCCTGAGGTTTCCTCTGGAGGCTGCGCGGGAGTGGTCCTGGGGCTACAGCCGGCCTCAAGGTGGCAGCCCCTCCCCAGCACACTGAGAGGGTGACCAGAACAGAGGATGGTCAGGAGACTTAGGGTGAAGCCACCCTGTGAGGTCCAGGTTCATGAGGGAGGCTGACTGAGCCTTGCGTGGTCAGCCACTTTCCAGCGGCCTCTCTCTACGCACCATCTCCCTCTTGCTTCCAGCCTGGGACCACCCCACCACCACAGGCCCCCATGCCTCTGTCCCTCAGAGCCACTCTCTGCCCCCTTCATCTGGCTGATACCTGTTTGTCTTGTGAGTGTCCTTCTCTGGGGAGCTTTTTCTAACCCTGTGTGTATCTCTGTCATTGCCGTGACGGCCATCTCTGATCTGTTCACGTTCGGTGGGCTTGACCCTTTGAGAGCAGAAGCAGGTCGTTTGCCTCAGTGCCTGACATGAAGGAGGAACGAATACTGTTTTCTGGATGACGGATGGATGGGCAGTGAACGGCAGAGGGGTGGATGATGGGTGATGGGCGGATGATGGATCGAGAGATGGTGGGTGGATGGTGGGTGGTGGTGGGTGGTGGTGATGGGTGTACGGGTGATGGTGGATGGGTGGAGGATGGGTGGAGGGAGAGATAGACGGAGGGTGCATGGATGAGCGAGCCTCCCTCCCCGGGTAGGAATCATCTGGGCAAGTGTCCGTACTGCCAGCAGAACTGGATCTTACAGTGCCCCTCGCTTGGCCACTGCAGCGCTAACTGTCTTCAGGCCTCTGCCTGGAGTCTCGGTGCTTCTCTGAGGCCGAGAGCTTGTCCTCAGAGCATCTGGTGGTCTTGAGACACTTCCTTTATACTCCTGCGGCTGTTCTCTTGAGTGCCAGGACCACGGACCTTGTCTCCCCCTGACGTGGTCGGTCCTTTCCTTTTGGCGCTTGGAGGCGGCTGTGCTCGGGCTGTGTGTGCGAGAGGAGAGACTGGGTCCCCTCCACCTCCCGCGTGTGGCGTGGACTCGCCTGGCCATTCTCACTTGGACCCACCCTGGCTCTTCCCCCCCGGCCCCCTGAAGTCTGCTGACAGTGGAACCCAGGACTTGAGGCAGGGAAGGGTTAGCCCAGGGCTTGGCAGGGACGGGGGCCACGGGGCTGAGAGTAATGCAGGGGTGACTTTCCAGGTGACAGCAGGGTCCCCGCTCTGTGATGAGCCCTGGGATTGCGACGTGCTTTCCCCTCTGCAGAACAGGCACGAGTGCCCACTTATCAGGGCACTGGGAAGGTTAGAGAGAGGACTCCCACGGAGCACCGAGCCGTGTCTCCCGCACAACCATGGACGTACGGTCTGGCCTCGGGCCTCTTCCCTGGCCTGCGCCTCTTGGGTCCCTCCCAGCACTCACCCGCTCTGGCCGCGCCCCTCAGCACCCCACGTGGGATGAGTCCGCAAGTCCCAGGCCTCAATCCAGAGACAGCTTTGGCCTCTGCCGTGAGACCACCGGGTAGCCCATCATGTCCTCTTCCGTGACACGAGCTAACTGCCTGGGTTGGCCCAGGATCCAGCTACACAGCCCCCGTAAGGCAGGCTGCCCGGTTGCGTATCTGAGCTACCTCCCCGAACCTCCCCCTCCGCAGGCCTCTGCATCTGTCCCTTCTCCGCCAGTGCCGTGCTCCGCCAGCACCGTGAGTCTTCGTGTCTGGTGGTTGTTAGCGAGGGTCGCAGACATGTGCTTGTTCCGGGGTCATGTCTCTTGACCTGTCCGCACTGGCTGTGACAGCACAGCTCACAGGTCCTGCCAGGCCCCCGGGCAGGAGTCTCTCCGGGAGACCGGTGCCCCCGCTTCTCAGAAGGGTTTGTCGAGGCTCAGACGCAAGTAACGTGCTCGGGGCCCAGTAGCTCCCATTAGTGGGGACTTTGGGGAGGGGTCCAGGCAGTCTGGCTCCCGAGACCCTGACCCTGCATGTGACGTGGAGAGAGGAAGGCTGAACTCAGACTGGCTGCGCACTGGGCTCCTCCCTCCTTTTCCTCCTCTGTCCGTTCGTCCCTCACGTACATGTTGCTTGTCTTTCTCGCGTCAGATTCTGTTTTTGAATCTTTAACTGAATCTTCTTAGTCTTCCTTTGTGCAGACTCGTGATTTTTCAGTAAGAATTCGAGTTCTTCCGGGTTGGAGATAAAGACGGGATGGACGCTAGAACTCCTGTGATAATGAAACAGCAGGGCGGGTGGGGTGAGGAGCTCCCTAGGTTGGGCTCACCTCGGCCCAGTGCTGTCCAAATGGCATGTCTTCCCACACAGACCCTCCGCGGCCCTGGAGCGGAGGGTCCAGCTCAGGTGTTTGAGGACAGGTCAGGGGGAGGGCTAGCTCAGGTGTTTGGGGACTAGTGGGTAGACCTGGTCCCAGCCTAGGTGTTTGGGGAACAGGTTGGGAGGCCCCAGGCCCAGCTGCGGTGTCTGGGTGCTTCTCGTGGGTACCTGGAGGAGACGGCGTGGTCTTCAGCAGGAGTGAGGTGGTCCAATGAGAAAGTCACGTGTCCAGCAGGTGGGGGCGACAGAGGTCCTAGGAAGCTGCTCGTGCAGCCCAGCCAGGAGGTGACACCCTTGAGGACAGTGTCCTCGTGTCCCCGCCACAGGGTGTGCACGTAAACGCCAGGTCAGTGACGCCCTGGCCCCTCTTTCTAAGATGGGGCTTTCCTTGAGGTCATCTCCCAGACTGACCCTGGGTGACCCCTCAGGCCCTTGAGCCCCCGGCCCCACGTCCAGGAAGCGACATCTGCCAGCTGGTCTGGCGAGCAGTGGGGTGTGGACAGACGCGGGTGCTCAGGAGACAAGCTGGTCAGACAGGGCGTCAGACCCTGGCTTCTCCGGGGCTCAGCTCCGGCCTGGCTCTTGGGAATGGCTTCTGCTTCTTTGTGCTTTTGTGTGGGAGCGGTCAGCCCTTCCCTGAGGAGGCTGGCCATGCACGCTGCCCTGACCTCCGGCCCCTCTCAACGCCGCAGAGGCCTGTGGCAGCAGATCTGTGTACGACGGGCCCGAGCAGGAGGAGTACTCGACGTTCATCATCGACGACCCCCAGGAGACCTACAAGACACTGAAGCAGGTCATCGCCGGGGTCGGGGCCCTGGAGCAGGAGCACGCCCAGTACAAGAGGGACAAGTTCAAGAAGACCAAGTATGGGAGCCAGTGAGTACGGCTTCTGGGTTGTAGGGGAGCCCTTGGCAAAGGTGACGGGGAAGGGACTGCAAGGAGCTTCCTGGGCAGAGCCCGACCCTAAAGCCACCTGTACGCACCCGTGAGGCTTGGGCAGCCGCCCCATCTCCTCAGAGCAGCCTTCCTGTCCTCTCCAGCTGTCAGGCAGTGCCCCGTGGACGGCACCTCCCTAACTTCCCGCCTCCCAGTCCCTCCTTCCTCCAGAACCTTCCACCTCCTGACCCATTGCTTCCAAAATTAGGCTTCAATCAGCCAGAAGTCCCACACCCTTTGCCTCTCTCTAGGCCACAAGTACGCTTCTATAGGTGACTTCTGCCTAAGTCTTTTTCCTTTGTTTGTATTTTTCACATTTATTCCGATGAACATGTATCACGTTTAAAGACAGACAAAAGGATAAGAAAACGTGCAGATGGGCACTGGCGGTTGGGAACTCGGCCTCACTTTCTCTGCTCCCCCGTTTCCCCTTTGCAGGGAGCACCCCATCGGAGACAAGAGCTTCCAGAGCTATATCAGGCAGCAGTCGGAGACCTCCACCCATTCCATTTGAAGCAGAATGTCCTGTCCCAGGACGGTGCCCTGGGCTGCAGCAGGAAAGCCAGTCTTTGGGCTTGAGGGAACAGAGAAAGGACAATAGGGCACGGGGCCTTCACTTCGCAGCTCACCTGTGACCCACGCCAGGCCTACTGGGCAGCTGAGACCCTCGCGGAGCTTGTCTGTGGTTGCTGGGGCCCCGTCATCACACTGGTGGCAGGAGACCTGGGCTGGTCCTTCTGGGAGGAGGGGCCGGGACCACCGCGCCCACTGCAGAACTCGTGCTTCCTGTCCTGGACCCTTGGGCCTCTGCTGGGTTCTATGCGGCCTGTGCGGTGGAGCCCCCAGCTCTCTCCCCCCACATGCCCTGCGGGACCAGCATGCTGAGTGCTTCGTGTCCTGTCGCCTGCCGGCGGCCACGGCCCCGGCCCTCCGCTTCCAGCCCTGCCGTTATTCCTGCGGAAGGTCAGTTTCGCTTCCTCGAGCGTCACCACACGAAGGCCCCCGTGTGCGAATGCCTTGACGACTCGGAGGTACAGGGGCCTTCTGCCGAGAGTGCCGGGGCTTCCCGTCCGCTCCTGCAGACGCTGGCGTCCCGCCACTGCCAACCCAACAGAGCGGGCAATGCGCCGTGCAGAGTCCAGCCGCCCCCCTTCAAGTGGAATTGTCGTTTGCTGTCGGTGGGACTGAGAGCAGGGTCCACCTCAGCTGCCCTTCTGGGAGTTTGGGGAAGGTTTTTAAAATAGAAATGTGCATTATTTTCAAGCTGTTTTTCTTAAAGTTTTTAGAGGACCGTTTCTAACGAGCTGTTTGATGAAGTACCTCAGAGCATCTAGGCCTGTCGCCAAGGGCAGGATGCATGGCAGGCACACGGGCACGAGCCGCTTCTCTGGGAAGCCGGTGGATGGCCCTCCAGAGCGCCCCAGGGGACGAGCGTCCTGAGCTGTGCAGATCCCCAGCCCCCGGGAGCAGGGCTTTGCTGTGTCTCTGTGAGGCCCCTAGAAGCTGCCAGGCAGTGGGGGTGCTTTTCTGTGGGGGTGGGGGTCCTGACGTGGGGCAGCTGGCCTTCAAGCTTTGGAGAACACTGTTCAGATGCTCGGACCTTGTGCCTGTCTCTGCTTTTATTTGCAAATACTGTCCAGACTCTGAACCATGATGGATAGGACTTGTCACAAAAATGGTGGAGGACGATGTTGCAGAAAATACGCTTAGGGACACACAGCTAGCAGGCCACACCGGACTACCGTTTTTAACTCGGATTTGTAACTTGATGTCTCTGTTTATAAGATACTAATGATCTGCAATGTATTTTACTGGCCAATTAAAACAGACGTTTTATTCTTTCTGAGGACGGTTTGATTAACGGCGCACGTGGGCGATGGGGTGCGTGGCGGAGCGGGGCCTGTGGGAGGCTGGGTGGCAGGCCACGTGGCGGGGAGGCTCGGCTGCGAGCCTTTGGATCAAGCGGAAACCACAGTGCTCTGTGGGATGGGAAGTGTGGGGTCGGGTCCTCTGAGCCTGTCCAAGCACGTCTGCTGGAAGCTCCGGTGGGGGTAGAGACGGGCATCAGCCCAGGAAGGGCAGGATGGGCTCCCGCACGTGCTGCTGTCTCCGAGAGGCCGTGGGGAGGCCGGAGGTGCTGAAGGCCCTGCCCCACCTGGACGGGCGGAGGGAGGGGCCGCATGCACCTGGAGGAGACCTGACTCCAGAGCAGGGGCGCATCGTTTCCCTCTTCTTCCTTCCATGTGGTTTTCACTCCGTTGCTGTTTTAATTCCAGCCCGAGTCAGCTGTTGGGAAAGAATCAGTGAGCTGACTCTGGGACATCAGGTTGGACTTGGGGGAGGTGGGGGAAGAGGGGGCGGTCAGCCCCTCTCTGGGACATGGACTTGGGGAGGGAAGCACCATCGCTGCTTTCCTCTGGGCCCTCCCAGCAGCGGATGGCCCCAGGGCTAGGTGGGGGGCTGATGGGTACAGAGGGGGCACACCTGCCTACGAGGCCTCCAGGTCAGAGGCCACCAGCATCCGTCAGCCAGGACAGGAGCATCCACAGCAGGGCCCTGGGGTACTGGCCAACTCAGACACATGCGGGACCCAGGGAGGTTCTGCGCCCATGGAAGGACAGAAGGGAGAAAGCCTCAGGGAATGTGGCACCCAGAAGCCCCTCTCCTGGGACTCCTGATAGGTCACAGTGTCTCTCAGGTCTCTGTGTGTCCATTTGCTCTTCCTCCAGACAGCCCAAGCATCCCCCTGCCCTGGCCATAGCCCCTCGGCCTCTCCCTGACCAGCAGCTCGGCATGCGGGTACCTGCACGTCAGCAGCAGTGCCAGTCCCCGGCTGGGTGCAGAGCCCGCCCGCGGATGTGCTGTGAGGCGTGTCGGAGGGAGGGATGTGCCTGTGGAATCGGGTCCCTTTTGTTTTGTTCTGAATACGTACAATCAGCTGGCTGCTCCGGGAGGACCCTGAGTGTCATGTCCTGAGGCCTTGGGCGCTTGGAGATTAAAGAAAGTGTCTGCTGGGATGAAGTCAGACAATTTCTGTTAAGTTGTATTATGTGTCCCCCAAAACCTCATGGCAAAGTCCTGAGCCCAGCCCCTCAGACTGTGACAGTATTTGGAGAGAGGATCTTTAAAGAGGTAATTAAGGTCACCTGAAGTCATTAGGGCGCACCCTAATCCCGTATGACCGGAGTCCTTCTCAGATTGGGGCGCAGCGGTGGACACGGGAGAGGATGCTCAGCATCACTCATTGTCAGAAGAGGACGAGCCCAAACCACAGGGGGTGTCACTTCCCACCAGCCCGACGGCAGAACGGCTAAAACCAACAACACAGGAACCACGGGTGTCGGCGAGGACGCGGAGAAGGGGGAGCCCCGTGCGTTGGTGGGGACGCAGGCTGGCGCAGCCGCTCTGGACAACAGCATGGAGGCTCCCCAAACAGTCAAAACCAGAGCTTCCCTACGACCCGGCAACCGCACTACTGGGTATGAACTCAGAGGACACAAAACACGGGTGCAAGGGCCCCAGGCCCCTGCGCTGCCGGCGGCCTTCTCTACAGCAGCCACGATGCAGAAGCAGCAGAGTGTCGGCGGAGACGGACGGAGAAAGAGGATGCGGGCTGTGGGGTGCACACGCAACGGACCACGACTCGGCCATCAGAAAGAGGAGATCGTGCCGCTTGTGACGTGATTGGACCCAGGGGCCCTGCTGCTAAGTGAGCGAAATCAGACGAGTAGAGACGGACGGACGACCGCGTGAGTCCACGGAGAAGTGGGCACGAAACGACGACGACGAGCCCAATGAGCAAACAAGAACCAGAACCAGAGCCACAGATACAGAGACTCAGCGGGGCGGAGTGGGGGCCTCTGGGAGGGGGTCTCGGTCACAGGGCGACCCGGGACTGAGCGGTCAGGGAGCGTGTCGCCTGAGAGCAGAGGGCGGCGCTGCACTTGCCCGGGAAGAGGAGTGCAGATGCTGCGATGTCCTCCTGAAGCTACTGCACTGTTGCGTGTCACGAGACTCGGAGGAAAGACAGAGCAGATTAGGGCAGGGCTGTGCGGAGAGACGACGTGGGAGGACACGGGGTCAAGGCTCACTCTGGCTGAGCGGCTGCCGAGACCCCAGCCCTGGTGGCACCCACACCTGGGCCTTTCCACCTTCCGACTGTGGGAGCCCCGTTAGGGTCCGTAATCAAAGGAGCGAGACTGATGCAAAGCGAAGGTCAAGCAAAGCTTTATTTCGCGCCAAGCATCGAGAATCAAACTGACCGGCCGGGGCCGACTCTTGCAGAGACACGACCCCTCCCAGCCTCACAGACATACTTTCATAGAGGTGTTCAGCTGGGCTATGCACAGGTGGCCGATGAGACTGCAACACAGAGACCACTGCTCAGTCATGTGAGTCCGCCACTACAGAAAAACCGCCAGGTAACACGGGCAGCCAGTGGAATTTCAATTTACCCTCGTAGATATATGCGCGTCCCACTGGTTGGACGTCGTCACCTGGCCTGACCCGCCCTTGTATCTAGGCTTTGGAAGTTCCTCTGGGAGGGGCGGGTCAATCATCTAAGTTTCCTGCAACAAAGTGGCTCCCTCTGATTAAGTAGGCCCTTACACCGGCGTGGGAGCGGACTGTGGGAGCCGCATCCCAGTCGCGCCGGCAAACCAGCGCCTGGTTCCATCAGTGTAGCTCCTGCCCACACGGCCACACCTGACGCCACCCGGAGCCGCCTCCGCTCGGGCCTCCTGGCCACGGATGAAGGCCTGGGGTGCCACCACGGCCGCGTCCAACCCTGGTCCCTTTGCCTGAGTTTGGTGCATGGGGACGTTGTCCTAAGCAGAAGAGACGGAATCTCGCCCTGAGGAGCTCATCCGCAGGCCTGAGGCAGACCCCATCCCGGCTGTGCGGCTGCTGCAGGCCTCGAAAGAAGGGCCGCGCTGGGCTGACTTCTGACCTCTGACAGTGCAGTGATGTCACAGGGGCCACTTGGCAACGGGGGCCCCCTGGCCACACTGGGCAGCTCATCCGACGGAGGTCGGAAGCCATGCTCTCCATCTGACGGTGTGCTGGGGAGCCCGCGTCCCTCTTCTTTCTGAAAACCTAACAGAGGGGAGAAGGATGGAGAAGGATGCGGCCACACACAGGAGGCACCGGCCAGGCCCCGGGGTCCCTGCTTCAGGGGTGGCCCCTGGACACCTCAAGGCAGCCAACGAGATGGCCGAGCTCCAGAGGAGCAGGAGCATGGGCGGCCTGCACCAGAAGGGGGACCCTCCGAGCTGCATCAGGAAACTGTCCAAGGAACCGGGTAGGTCCCCAGCAGCATCCCTCCCTCCTGCCTGGCCCCATGGCCCCCGCCGAGAATCTGAAAGGCCTGGCAGAGTGTGCTAGACCCTGGGTCTGCCGATGGCCAGACTGGGGCCCCTCGGAGCGGGCCACGGGAAGCAGGGCTGCGGCCGGGAGTGGGGCCAGGCCAGCTGTGCCTCCCAAGGACCGTGGCCACGTAGAACGTCTCCAGGCGGTCTGCTCAGGAGACATGAGGGGAGGGCCACCCGGGAGCCCCTGTGGGGCGTGGACATGGGGTACGGGCCAACGAACTTACACGGGGCTGGGCTGCACCCCAGGCTCTTCCTAAATGCGCTGCCTCAGGGGCAGGGGTGGGACACTCCATCCTTGTGTGAACCTTGAGTTTCGCCCCCCCAGGCTCCCCAACAGCAGACATCTCAGGGTCCTCTCCCTGGAGGGGCTGGACCCCAAGGTGACTGAGGGTTGCTGGTGACTGGTTTGGTCATTTGCCAGGCCCTCCGCGGTCCCGGTTCTCCCAGGAAGGTCACCCAGCAAGGGGCCCTTTACGAGGGTGTCGGGACGCCGTGGAAATGAGACGCGGTCAGCGGGAAATATGGTTTGTGGCTCAGGCCCGAGGGACGAAGACTTGCTCTCTCAGGGTAAACATCTCTTGGGGAGAAGAGGAGGTGCTGGCCGGCTGGGCACAGGGCCACCTCCGTCCCCTGAAGGCTCGGAGCAGGGGGCGCCTTCCACAGGCTCACGAAAGAGGAGCAACTTTTCCCGAAGAAGAACCCACCTAAGTCCACGCAGGCAATATCGCACAGTGAGGTGGGAGGGGGTCTGGTAATGCCGCCACGAGGCCGGCCGCGAAGGAGGACAGTGCCGGTCCCACTGCCGGATACTCCCAGCAGCACCGCGGAATCGCCCCAAACTGGGTGAGCGGCAGACACATCCCTGTGGCGCCCCGCCTGCCGCACTGGCCCTGGCAGCCCGCACAGGACGCAGCAGAGTGTTGCTGCCTCCCCAAAGCCCGCCGGCGGGAGCAGCAGGCTCACCGGCCAGCCCCACTGTCCACGTGGTGAAGTAGGTCCAGAAGAGGCGCCCTGCTGGTGCACACCTCCTGGGAACAGGCGGCGAGGACACAGGAGCTGGGCTGCTGAACCCGATGGGTGGGACAAGGGGCGGCCGGAGCACATCTGCAGCTAGCGATCCCAGTGGACCTCAGGGTGAGCCCAGCGTCAGAGGGAACAGCGGGAACCCGGGGTCTGTGTGCTGGAACTGTGGGTGGCCACACACTGAGCCCAGCTCCCCTCCCTGGCCTGCACAGGGCCCCCCGCGGGACCAGCCCAGGCTCACACAGCTGTGTCCACCACCCCCCGCCCTGGACCCCGGAACACAGGTCTGCCGTGCCACCCGTCCCGCACCAGGCCACCCTCGAGCGGCACCCGGCTCTCCACCCGACACCTGCGCATGCTGGGCGGGGGAGTCCAGAGAGGAGGAGGGGCCTTCCTCTGAGGTGTGTGGGTACTGCTGAGGTCTTCAACCGTGTGGCTAAGGGGCAAGG